AACATTTGGGTAGATACTATTATCAATTGTATCTCCATATAACTCCCAGATAATTAAGCTAACAACTCTTTATTATTTCACACATCTTATGTATTAGCTTAATATGCCTCTAAAATTTATCTCATTGAGTGTACTCAACAAAAGATAAATTTTAGTTAAGTCAAACCTGTCATTCAGAAATATCAAATATTTCATAGTGTCAAACATATCCCTAATGGACCAGACTTGAGTGTACTCAAAAAATGAGACGATTTGGGACTCTGATTTTTCACTATAATGATGGAAGGCGATTATAAATGTGACTTAATATTTTATGGAGGGATTTTGCATTCAAGGGTCTCATTGTAACAATAATATACATTTTATTATGCATCTACTATGCAAATAAATATATATAACATAATATAATAGTGTGGACGATAATGGACTTTTACTATCTAGTCTTCCCGAGTTATAAGGAAGACTAGTTAGTCAATTCCTAGGGGGTATTACACTGATCAATATCAATGTGCCATCTCCATGGTCTTCTCCTCTTCTTGTTTCTTCAATTAATCCAATTGCAACATGTATCCTATACTAGTTGGCACGTAGACCTAAATGAAATTGGACTCGCATGTCCAAAATGATCAAGAGCTCGTAGGCCCAAAATAATAACAATAATAACGGGCTCGCAGGCCCAAAACAATTAAGAGCTCGCAGGCCCAAAAAATAACGAGAATAAAAATTAACCATTCAACACATCCATATGGTCGAGTCCATAATCGTCCACTAATAATGCAATCATCACATAAATGTATACCTATATAATATCTAATATTATATGCAAATAAGTTTCAAGTTTCTAGCATTTAAGTCGTTTAAACTCTTTTAGACAAAAGGGTCGGAACAATTAAATAATTAATTAATCATATTAACCAATTATTTAATTAGCGGGCATATTTAATTAAAATCTAATTTCAATTAAATAATAAATTAGAGTCCAACTCTAATTCAACAATTATATGGCGGGATTATTTAATTAAAATCAAATTTTAATTAAAAAAATCAAATTAGAGTCAAACTCTAATTTCACAATTTAAGGCGGTGGAATTTAATTAAAATCAAAATTTAATTAAATAACAAAATTAGAGTCTAACTCTAATTTCAATAATTAAGGGCGAAATAATTTAATTAAAATCAAAATTTTAATTAAATACCAAATTAGAGTCCAACTCTAATTTCAAAAAGAAATTTAAGGCGAGACAATTTAATTAAAATCAAATTTTAATTAAATGTGAAATTAGAATCCAATTCTAATTACAAGAATATATTCGGGTGAATAATTAATTAAAATCAAATTTTAATTAAGTATTAAATTAGAGTTTGACTCTAATTTAAATTGAATTAATATTTTAATCTAGGATAAAACTCCTAAATAAAATAAAAATTCAATTGAGTCAAAGTTTAATGTTTAAGTCAAAATCCAATTTTAACGAAAATATAAAATGTCGTCAATTTTAAATAAAATTTTAATTTGGGTCAAAATCAAAATTATGGGTCGAACCCAATTAAAATTAATTTTAAAATCATTTCAAAATTCAAATTCAAAACCATTTTGAAAACTTGCAAATTGACCCAAGTTTGAAATTAACATCGGACCCTTCCAAGATTTAAAATTGCAGAACAAGTCTCCTTTTAAAATATTGCAAACTGACCCCTTGGCAAATTATCAACAAGGTCCTCGAGATTACGAAATCGCATAGCAGCCCTTATTTAAAATTTACATATTAACCCCTTTTACATAATTGCACCCGGGCCCCCACAATTACACTAATTGAGAGTAATCCCCGTCTCCACCAACTCCAACAAAAACTGAAACCCTAAAATTCACCCCACCCTTCTTAGCAGCGCCTCTTTCTCTCCAGATTTCAGGCAGCCGCCCCTCAATCTTCGCGACAGGGAGTCGCCGCTGTTGAAAGCGGCGGCCTCCCCGCCAGTGCGCTGCTGCTGCTTTCGCCCGGCGGTGAGCTCGTCGCCTCTGCAGCGGCGAGCATGCCACTGCCGGGTGCCAATGACGCCGCCAGCTGCGCCTCGCTTGCCCTGTCCAATTCCAATTTTTTTTTTTTTTTGTTATTTTCAGAATCAGATTTCGAAGAAAAATGGAATTCAAATTTTCTAAATTACTAGAAACTAGTAAACGTATAACAACCAACTTTTGATTGTACAAAATGTTAAACAATTTCTAACAAATACAAAGTAGGCTCTGATACCACTGTTGGGAATCTACATGTACATGCACAATGAAAAATTAAAATTATTTCGATTCCCATCGAGGATCCCTTTGTGTTTAGATAGAAATTGTGATAAAGATTATACCTTTCAAAAATTTTGCAAATCTTTTACTTTTCTTTTTAGTTCCACAATCTTGACTCGCCATCCACAGCTGTCCAATTGTCCAGCCTCCAACGGTGATCTACACAAAGAATAAGATTGCAGCTACCAGTGTTTTCCTCTTGTGCCAGCAAGAATAATAAAAATTATATGGACCTCAAACCCTAGCCATGTATTTATATAAACCCAAACGGGCGCGGCCCGATCCGGTCCAATATTTAATTAAACCCGGTCCGTGAATTAATTAATCCAATTGATTAATTCGGGATATAAATAACCAATCCAATTAATTAATTTATCCAACGATTGTTAAATTAATTAATTGACAAATTGCAATCTTTTAATTCTCTTTTGTGTATGATCTATCAGGTTCCCAATCACGATACCTAATGATGTGAAATATTATTTTGATCTAAACAAAATTAATAAATTAAAACACCATTTTAATTTATCGTCAATTCACACTCACCGTCCCAGATTAACATCTAGCAATGTGTCAGGGCAATACATGTGACGGGAAATGTCACGTGGTATGACAAAACCAAACTCGTTCGTTTACCGTGAAACTATAATCTCTTCGTCGATATGATCCAATCAATTACGAGATATGGAATTGTGTCAATCTCGAATATCGATCATATCTTTCACCCCACTATTAAGTCAATATAAGTCGAAAACTTCTTTTCGACTTATAAGTACACCTTGGCCAAGGATTTCGTTATCGACTTAATTGAATGAAACGTAAATCATAATCTCTTACTATCTGAGAGTGACGAATCCTTTATTTGTCAATCACAACCTTCATACGATTCTTGACGTACCCGAACGATGTCGTATTAGCGATCCTTTGCAGCGCAACATCCAACACCGCCAAAGTATGATTGTTCTCATATAAGGTACCATGACGACCTCAAATCAAAGGACCAATTCCACTACCGAAGGTTAGAGATTAACCACTAACACTCAGATAGTTATCCATGTGGAATCTCTCGGCGGGTCTCCAATGTTTTGTTCTATAACAAAACATTCACGTGTCATTTAAGTGTCACCACACTTTAGTTTGTGAGATCAGCTACTTACTTCACAAGTAAGAAATGCCACACGTGATGGTCTATCCGTAATAACGATATCCGTATCTCGTTATTACTTACGACCATGGACGATTTAAGATTTAATCAGACGTAATTTATATCTCACAATCACAACTCCTTGTGATTAACAAATTACGAAGATTTGAATCTACGGACTCTATTATTTATTTAATTGTCTAGTAATTAAATAATAGATCTGTCATTAAATTACATTAATTATATATCAAAAGTATTTATGTCCAAAGTTGATTGGACTTAGGACATAATACTTACAGAGGAGATATTAATTGGCCCAAGCAATTATCATTTAGTTAGGTTATTAGTGGTCATATATATATGTGTGCATCAAAAATCGGTGGCTGCAGGTGTGGAAGTAAAAAACAGTGGCTATATAAAAATATATATCTCTCTCTAAATTGTGAGACAAATTGCAGAGGTCCAAGTTGGCGGCTTTGTGTGTGAGGCGAAAAACATAAACTGCCAGGTTAGTTGCTCCCGAGAGGAGAGAAACCGGCTGAAAAATTGAAAAAAGGGCTGTGCACGTGTGGAAGAAGAAAAAGGAAGCAAATGTTTATTTTCTTTCAATATTGTTTTGGGTGTGGGTTCACACATATTTTCTTCCCAGCACAATATAAATTGGAAATTTCTCTAAGTTGCATTTTGGGTACTATAGAGGTGTAGTATTCAAAGTAGGTTCTCACAATGTTGATCAAATTGTTGATTTGAGGTGATATTATTTGTGATCTTAGAGATTAATTGTTGTGGTATTCCAATTTGTGGAGAATTCAAGTTTAGGGGTATAAACTTGAATAATTGTAATCCATATATTATTATAGTGGATTTTTGTCGGAGTTGTCTCGTGGTTTGTTTCCCTCTACACTGGAGGGTTTTTTCCACGTAAAAATTTGACGTTGCGTTTTTTTATTTTTACTTGGATTATTTATTTACATAGTTAATCGTTCTAGTTAATTGCTTTGATTGAAAAAATTATTCTTGCAATAATTGAAATTGTCCAACAGTTTCATCAGATTTTAACAATCAATGCTATTCAAGATCAAGGTACCTAACTTCACCCTAAGGTCTATATCAATTTTCACCAGATTCTCAATGAACCATGTTAGAAGGATCTCCACACTTCTAAAAACTTGACGATATCGTCAATCTCGATTTTCACAGTTATCCAAACTTTAAAGATACACGTTATCCTATAAAACTTGACACTAAAATCAATTTTGGGCTTCAACATGATTCTCAATAATCCAGGCTAAAAAGATCACATGATCTTATAAACTTGACGCTAAGTTGATTCAAAACCTCTCTGAGATCATTATTCACCCAGAAGTTACTTAGAATCAAAATGATTCTCTTCTCAACCTAGGATTGATCCCAAGTTTATTTGCTCCAAGACTATGTTGAACCATTTTATCAAAGACTTAATCTGTTAAAGAAAAGACAAACCTGTTCATCTGAATTTTGTCATAAACATCCGATCCGAAGTTGGTCAAAAAGAAACTAAAGCAGCCATAAGTAACATTTACATGACTAAAACAAGAAGTTTGAAGGCAAATCATCTCAATCATGATCTTTAACTGCGTGCATACTGTGGTTATGCTACAAGAAATTAAACATGCATATGTTATGTGGCATTTATTCAACCAATCCTATTGGCCAGTCTATTTCTGCAAAAGAAATATCTAAAAATGGATATCAATTTTCCTCCCGCCAACATGCTGATAATACTATATATAGAAGACAACTTTTTATGAAGTACCAAGATTAAAAATAGAAGTAAGGCCACAGATAAAGAGATCCCACTAACAAGAAATAGGCCAGAAAAGCTATTAATGCCCAGAGTATTTGGCCTAGGTGGTTCAGTGCCAGATGACGGTGATAATTGGCTTCTAAACCATTTCTTCTCCATCTCCAAAATTTTACCTTCTTCTCTGAGTCCAGCAATTGCTCTTGACATATCATGGACCAAAGGTGAACCCTTTTTGAAAGCCTACGATACAATAATTTATTATAAGAAAGCATATACCGATACACGTAACGACCTTATTTTGTCCCAAAATAATAACTGACAGATGCATGTCCTTATAGAGAGGGGCAGGGAGCACACACACATTGTTCGGGAAAGAACAGTATACTTACAAAAGCGAAGCCATTAGTTGTCTCTGAGGAGTTAATCATGGCGAATTCATGTGGGTACTTAGCGAGGAATAGTTTAATGTAAGGAATTTCATCAATTATTGCACCAACTCCTCCATTTTTACTTCCTTTTCTTAAAGCATCATAATAATCCTCCAGTGAACTGTAAGGCTTAAGTCTGTTATCCTGAAAATTCAGGTTGTTGACATGAAGTCCCTCACTAAAAGAATTTTTTGGGTACCCTATGTAATCATTTTTTGTCAATCTTATCTGTTGAACTGTCAAAAGTGAACTCAAATTTGCCGTATAACTTGATGTCAATATCAGGACTACGAACAACCAAATACCCACAACAAATCTTGATAGATTACTTTGTAATTTTTCTCCTGCAAAACAGAAAAAACACAATTCACAAACTGCAAATGCGTCCTTATAACTCAAGGCTTTTTTTTTTTTTTTTTTTTCTGGTTTAGACTTTCCAACTGAACTTTATTCTACCCAATCTGTTGTAATTTCTAAAGACTTGCCTGGAAAAAAAAAACGTAAATTTTATTCACCTCTAGCATTTATCAAAAGTGGCTGATTACCCTCTCTATTTTGGAACTAAGTAACTAATTCTGCATTTAAGAAATCGTGCATTACCCTCTGCTATTAATTCCGAACAGATCTGTTAACTTTTTTCTTGAAAAGACAATTCATACTAATAAATGCCTAGTTAATTTTCAACACCTCTCGTTCAAGTCAAACTTTTGAAACAGTAAAAATGCCCTAGCACCGTTTTTCTTCGAGGTCACATCTGAAAATACTAGCTCAAACAAAGTCTTTAACGAGATCAAGTGTACTTACATTGCATCTGCTTTGAGACTATTTTAGTTTCCAAACAAAACGATGTTATCCGACTGCATAGGATTGTTTTGGGGAATATCTATCAAATTAATCCATTGGAACCAATCTGCAGAGTTTCTAGAACTCCATGAAGTATTTTTTCGCCGTGTATGGTACTGTTAAGAAATGATTTCTCCCTAGGAATTGTTGGTGGTTGGTTCTGCAGAATTCTGGGTGGGAAGATTCCATGACGAAGAAGGTGAACCAACAAGAGAATAGATTAAGATGATTTGAAGATATTCAGAGAAGCCCACTAGATGTAAAAGTTCAGAAATCTAACGAAGTTAGGATTATAGTAATCCTAAGAGAAAGAGGTATATCTAAAATCACATGGAATATGAGCTTCTTCAATAGATTTTTTATTAGTGTAGTCCTCTTTAGTTTTGAGAGTCAAATCTTTATTTTGAGTAGTCCAACAAAATCTATATATGTAGAAATTATATAATGAGGTTTTGATTCTCCAAGTGTAGCAAGCCAAACTCACTCTCAAAATGAAAATTTTAATACTTCCATTCACTGTTCACAATTTTGTAAGCACTTTTTTTAAGGGAGGTGTAATAAAAGGAATCGAGGAAAAAAGTGATGCGATGCAAACAGATGAGGCAGCCTTCTTCGATTCGATAGGACGTCTTTGGGCAAAGGTGACGATGGGCTGAATCGAATCATAATTGCTTATGGAAAAATAAAATAAAATAAATAAATTGTCGTTAGGCTTATATAAAAAATCCTCTCTCTTTATATTGAAAAATATACTTTTTAAAATAAAGAGCATTGTTGGAGATATTCTAAGACTAATGAAAAGTTAAGAAAGTTCAAAGTTAAATGACTCTTGGTCATGAAATTTTTAGAATTTAGCTTCTCTCATTTTAAGCATTTGTATGTGCAATGATACACTAGCTTTCGATTTTAATTTGTTGTTCATCGCCAAAAAGGAGTAAAAACCTGGTTTCCTTTTTTCACGTTTGTCTTCAGTAGTGAACACTAGTCAATCAACAATTTCTGTTTCTACAGTGAATAATATCACGAGAATTATATGCCTATTTCTAAAAGGATACAATGACAATATGTTAATTATGTGTACTGAAATACTGCTGTCACCTACACCATCAGTATGCTTCAAATTAATAGGAAAATAGGTGGGAAAAACGAAATCGATAGAGCTTTACTTACTATGAGCATAAACAAGAGTTGAAGCGGCGAACCAAAGTATTGTCCCAATTTGCCATCCTAGTGAACCTTGAAACTCTACATTAATACGATGTTCAATAAGCCAAACAATAAATCCCGTCAGAATGAAGAAACCGGCACTCATAATCCATAGATCCACACTAAGTGGCTTTAAGAAGAACCATGGGTCTTTATCGTCCAGTCGTGCAACCATTCCAACACCAAACTCCGTGAAGGGCAATGTGAAGTCAACATATTGAGACCTGTTCGAAGTGATAGTTATGTCCCCTACGGCAGCATCAAAAATCTAGTCCATGAGTTTGAGTAACATCACAAGAGGAGATTTTCTCCCAAAAACTGAAGGTTCTCAACTAAAATATATATTTGAAATATGGAAATGAACATACCTGCAGATAGACGTTATATACGTGATCACTGTAACTTCCATTATCTCCGTACAAGGGGATAAATTCATAATCTATTTTATACAGCAACCTCTCGATGGCCGCGTTGAAGACGTCCATGCAGAAACCATCGGTAGTTGCTTTATTCGTTTGTTGATCATAACTCAATCCTATCAACTTGGGGAACCTTGTGTTCGCTGGAACTCCAATTCTTAACCGCCTGCCACTCATTTGAAGTAACCAACCTTTTGGAGCAGTTGTAGAGAATCCAGGCCAAATAATGGTTTCCAGACCATCAGAGGAACAATTATCTGTGAATTGATATATTTCCTTGGTGAATCCACAAGTTGGTGTCCAGAAACCTACTCTTCTTCCCCCCTTCCCTATCACATTCACGATTTCATAAGTCTCATGAACTAGTCTTGCATTTATAAGCTGAAATTCACCTCCTAAACCTGTAAAATTACTTCTTGAAATCTCATTCAGGAGGGTTGAACCACTGTTAGAAACTCGTGTGTGATCTAAGTTTCTTAGGTTCAATTTAAAGCCTCCGCCTCCCCGTTTAGGAAAACACTGTGTCCCTGCCCTTTCAATTGCCTCTGCTAATGCCCACACCGCATCATATGCCCATATGCCAAACACATTTAATCCCCTACTTTCCATATCAATCTCGCTGCGCTGAAATTCCCTTCTCCATCTCAAAGTGAAATTCCGGAGCTTGCTTGATGCTGGAATATAAGGTCTGAAACCAACTGCTCCGCCCATTGACTCAAAAACTGGAGAATCTTGTAAATCCAATAAATTCATGGTTTTGCTAGTCATAATCCAAGCATAGTCCTCACTCATCATTTCCAACATTTTTGCATTTTTAAAAATTTGAGATGAAAGAGAAACTGATGTATGTACAATAATTATTGATGTTCTCATAGTCCTGAGATTGTGAAGCTTTTTTATTATTTCTTCATCTGTAGCCTTGAGAGTAATGGCAATGTCATTTACGGCATCCAAATCACTATCACGAAAGGTGTCGTGTAGATGAGATAGAATTTGTCTGGTATCTTCAGTGTCCTCGTAGATAAGTACGACATTCCTCCATTTGAATGCTCTCAAAAAGGCAGCCACGCCTTTGAATTGAGAGGTCTCATCTTGTGCAACTTGCAAAAAATAAGGATGTTTATTCGATGATGATACTGAAGAAAATGAAAGTAACGGAACATTAGCTTTGTCACATAGCGTCACCAAGAATGACTCTTCACTTGACATCTCTGGGACCATGATAGCATGCACTTGAGCATTCTCCAAAAGATCAAAAGCTGCATTAAGAAATAATGAGTAATCCAGAGTCAATCAATCTAAGCTAACTCTTTCAATCAATCTAAGCTAACTCTTACTGTTTATAAATACGTCTTCACATAAATCATGGAATATATATGTCGCAAGGTATTGAATCAAATTCAGAAACCCAACCCTCCAAGAAACAAAGCTACGCCTGAATTCATGTGCTGGATTTATTCTAGGCTCATGGGCTTTCTTCTACTTTCTTGCAACTTCCCTCGACTATACACGTGCGCACACGAGAAAACAAATAAGTGCAGAAAAAAAAAAACCGCTTACCAGAAGCTATAGAACGAAAAGGTTCTCCTCTTGAATCTCTTGGTTCAAGAGCAATTCTTGTTTTGTACTGTTCATTGAGCATGTAAAATTCTGAAATTGCCATAGTAAGGCAGCTCTGGACAACCTCCCCCACCCATGATCTTGTGTCGAGAATGATACCAATCTTGATGGTGTTTGTTTCTTGGTTACTGTCCTTTGATGCATCAAATATCTGCTGTGAACTTTTAAGCTTGTCAGGGTATGGTTGACTTCGAAATTCACAGAAGAGTAGAAATAAGATGAACCCGTGGATCTTCATTTTCATCTTCAACTTCCTTCCGCGAATATTAAGCCTCCTCTTAGTTTTTCTGAAGGTGGTCTGCTTCTGCAGCCTGCACATTCCCAGCTATAACCAAAGTCAAAGTCGTTGATATTTACTTAGGAAAATTCACGACTTCAGAAAATTTTTAACAGAAATTTACGGACTCTGATGTGGTCGCAAATGATTGAATTGTTATTGTTTTTTTTTTTTTTTTCTCTCTCCATCTTTCAATTAATTTCGCCATGTATTTTCCGTTGAAGTTTTCTGTCCAAATTTTTTATGCTTATAGCACCATTGATTTATTTAAGTCGAAGTCATCAAAGTAGTTGATTATTTAAGTCGAAGTCATCAAAGTAGTTTATTTAAGTCGAATCATCAAAGTAGTTATGAGAATCAATTGCGAATATAATGAGAAAGTGTTGATTATTGTTACTAGAAATTAAGATCAAATACTAAACCCATGTGACGTGGAATAATTATGGTCAATCCCGCGTTGGTCGAATATTGACTCAAATTTTGTCAAAATTTAAAAGGCCAATGTGTATTTTTTTTTTTCCCAAAAAAACTTGTCCTTGGAAGAAAAAAATAATGTTATCTAACATTATTGATTCTTCGACACCAATTTAGATGGCACTACGTAATAAGTTGAATTAAATGATTCATTTAATTATACATCTCATTTAACGTCACTTAAACTAATATTATAATATCAATCATGTTAAATAGCATTATTCAAAAGAAAAAGATACCAACTATATTTATAACTTTGACAATGTTATAAAATAGAGAGAAAAGGAGAAGAAATCAGTGAAGTCAACAGACTTGTGTGTATTTTATTGAGAACTAAAGACTCATAATTATCGAAAAAATTAGGACTACAATGGATATAATAATAATAATAATAATAACTAGAGTTGTAAGGGGTATAATTTTCATTCATTAATAAACATATTATTTATAAGAGTAGTTATATTGATACAACAATTTTTATTTGATACACCATATTTTAATTGTAGTTAAGCTTTTCAATCTTTGTTCATTTGTAGCAACTATTTCTTTAACTTATTTCAATCGAGTTATTATCTCCAACCTTCCCTTCCATTAACTAGTACATCTTGTTAATTATTGATAATAATTTATGTCCAAATGTTTTGTTTTCATGCTTTGAAACTAACGATTTACTAATATGTCTTTATAAACAATGAATCGCTAGAATGAGTTGATACATAATTTTAACGTGCACTTGATCCTTGTTAAATTTTGTTTTAGTTAGAGATTTTTTAGTTTGTATTAAATACAATAATTTGCAGAAGAATAATGACATTGGGCCTCATGGAAAAATATTTTTTCGCACCTTTTATTTATTCATTTTTTTTTAAAAATATGATGCAAAATAAGTTATTTTACGTCATATTCAAAGGACTTTTGTACATAAAATTATTATTAAATATAAAATATGTTAACTAATGAAAAGTTTAAGGATAAGAATGACATTAAGAATCGTTATGAATATAAATATTATTATGAATAAAGATTGAGAACCATAAGTGTAATTAAAATATAGTATAAGAAATGAAAAATTGTGGTTCTTCTATAAAAAGACAGAACACTGGCAATCAGGTGCTGCATTAAAATTCTGTAAACCAACTTTCTGTACATATAGTTTTATCCAATTTATTTTAGGATTAAACTACTTGTACACACAAAATATACATATTCATTGACATCCCCTATGTGTCAATAATCTGACAATTGATTGAAAAATGTGTTATCAAAATCAATGTACCAAAATCTATCAACTTACATGTGTTTAAACTATTAGGTCAAACTTTATGTACATGTTGCATGCTCTTTATTTTTATTCTTTTTGGTTAGTGTAAATGGTAAAATTTGATAGATATGATAAAAAAAGAGAGACCCTCTTTTAGTAAATTAAAAGCATAAAGTTATTATACACTTTGTCATCCCTCCGAAAATTCTATTTGCATGACGTAAATGGTGGCCCACGGTGTGAAGACTGCCTCTCGAATGTTTGGTCCAAGTGTACATAAACGGTGACCGTATCCAAATTTATCCTGGTGGCGAATAAGGGAGGAAGGCTGTCACTCCTCAAAGTTAGTTGGACGAAGCTTAAACATTTGAGTCACCAAAAAAATTAAAAAGAAAAAGCATCGATGTAGAAATTTTAAAAAAAAAATTAAATAAATAAATAAAATAAAATAAAGAATACCCTTTTGTCTGAAAAATAAGGCAGCGAGAAAAAATGCATACATTACATTTCACGAGTAGAGGACTATAAACCGAACAACATTTTTGAAATGATATTAACTTCGTTTTTTCGATTGTACATTCAGAATAATTACACATCAAAAGCGATTTAAATTCCTCTATTTAAAGTAGTAAGGAAGGTCAAGAACATAGAGGAGAAAATAAGCCCAAGTGACACCAGAAATCCCACCAAAGAAGAATCCTCCAGTGAATTTGGCCCAACCCTCAGCAGTTTGAAGCTGATCAGGCTCCTTTTTCCTGCCAGTCAGTGTTAACGAAGGTGCAGTTGATGGCTCACCCTCTTTGAATGATGAAATTCCATAAATTGTTAAGCAAAGACTCAGGATCACAACAAGGCCTGCTGCTGCTAGGGAACCAGCTCCACCTGCATAAGGTGTGTTTCGGAGGGGGCCGGTTTTCACGAACGGGCCGACGAGGAGAAAACCATGGGCAAGACCGACCTCGATGCCACGGAGAAGTGGGTTGACTGCGGTTCGATAGGCCGGGAGATTTGAGAGGTACCAAGCAATCAGTGGGCTTGATGTCACTGGGGTCTCAAGGCTTCCAATGAATGGATCACCATTGATGGGTTGAATCACTTGGTAAGTGGGCTGTGTCAAGGTGAAAGAAGGTCAATCTCAATCAAACTACAGCATTTAAAAGAAATTAGGCGAATCCACCAAAAGATTTTGACGTCTGCAATTATCAAACAAGACATCTCTCTCTTACCGTTTAAACTTTCAGATAATGTGCTTCATTATGATATGAGAACCGTTTATGAAAATTGTGCATGTACAGAGGCATTAAACACTAAACTTAACTAAGCAAATATATACGCATACAGCTTTAACTTTCTAGAAAAGATGGTACAACGACATGAAAACAGAACGTAATTTCCTAACCTTCTCAGACTGGACAGCTTTGATGGTGAAGCAAGACTTTCTCCTGGAAGGCAGAACTCTGAGTGGAGCTCCAGAAATACCCTTTGGAGTAACCAATCCTCTAGTCATGGAAGAAGAAAAATTGCTCTTGAGCTGGCTAGCCATGGTAGAAGTAGCAGTAGCCATATCTGAAATATGTGTTAGAACTCAGAATGACTGGTTACAGCAAGAACAAAGATATATGAAAGAATGTATAATAAAGAAAAAAGAGTTTTGTGTAAATTTTTTTCTGTGCAAAGAATATCTTTTGCACACAAATTTGTGGCTCTGAGTTGTGATCTTTAGTTGATGCAGGATTCTCATTGGGTGAGTTGGGTTCTAGACCTTATCCTTTCTTATCCTCATTGACAAGAATTTGGACGACAGGATGTGTGGGGTTCTAGTTCGACGTAGGGAGATTTGCAAGAAGAATTTATCTATATTTTAATGAATTAATTTTTTAACTTCGGACAGAACATCGACCCTAAAAAGGTAACAAGTCAAATTATTCAACCATGATAAATAAGAAGTTAATATATAATTGTTTCGCGCGTAGTCGCTAACAATTAAAAAGGGATCAGACGATTGTATAAGGAACAAACCTCTTGAGACAAAGTCCCAAAAAATAATGTTTTATTGGCGATGACTTTACAATTGGAATTTAAACAGAATGCCTCCAAAGGGAGCAAGCACACGAATACTGAAAAGAAATATTTTAAGTCTAAACTAAAGAATTGAAATTACATATTCTCTGTTTGAGAGTGTTTGATTCGGGGTCCTTTGCTCTATGTCTTTTCTTCCTTTTATATTTCCTTGATGATCTCTTCGTGATCAACCGCTTAGAAACCGCTTAATGCTTTATAACTGCCCATTTTCTTCATGGTGGCTAACTTATCGTGGAACTGCCGTCTCTAACTGCTGCCACTACTCTTTGTCGTTCAACCGTCTTTAACTGAATATCCTTGAATCGTGGAACGTGATAAGATTACTCAATAACTGTTTCGATAACTGCACTTTTGGATAACCATAACATCTTATGTTTGCTAAGATCTTGGGCGATTCGAAGGTTTGGGCGAGAACAGGGTCATAACTCTGGGCGACTGCAAGGCACTTCATTCGCTCAGATCTTGGGCGTTTTGCAAGTTTGGGCGATGGTGTTACCGCGTTCGTGGGCTTCCACTGCATTCATTAATAACTCTATTTGGGCCTTTATCCTGAATTGCCCAGTTGGGCTTCATTTTTCGGGCTATTCGATTTGGGCTGCACTTTTAGCTTATCAACAATTACCTCCCAATATGGCAGAATTAATACCAATTATTAATTTTTGCCATATTCACTTTGTATTTCCCAACAACATTTGAAATTCCCAAGAATTTCAATCATTATTTTCTTCCATAGCCTCAAAAGGCGCGACGTTGCAAACCCTTATAAACCCCAAATACGTGTCATTTCATCGCACTACTAAATCACGCCTCATTGTTCTGCGCTTCTCTCTCGCAATATTACTGTTCATCTTCTTTCTTCTCTGCTACGTTTCTCAAACAAGCTTCAACAAAACTTTATTTCGTTCCTAATGGCTGGCTGCTTCACAATCCCAATCTGGTGACTCTTTCAGTTTCGAAGACTTCCAGAAAATCCTCATTCGGCCATATATAACTCCGAACTTCCTTGCACCAACCAATGCCGAACTCAATGAGTTCTATCTAGGTCCTTCATTCAACAACGCCGAGGCCGTCGCACAAGTGGCGGTGGGCCAGCTGTTCCCTTGTACTCAAAGCCCTCCGTTTCTAAACTCTTTGTCGCTGAGGTCGCTTCACGAAAGAGGTATTCGCACTTGACCTAAATCTGATGTTGTTTTTCGTAGATGGCATGCTCGCCTTGTGGGCCATGGTCCTACCAAAGCAATTTTTGATAGTGCTAGGATTTCTGATTTGTTAGAAATCTCTCTTCAACACCCTATTTTTGATCCAGCGTTTTTCCCTATTGCTTTAAGTTTTTGGTCCTCTGAGTATAATACTTTTGTTTTCCCTTTTGGTCCCATGTCCATTACTTTAAGGGATGTTAGGGCCTTAGTAAATCTGCCACCTTTGGGCGATACCATTTTCCCTGGTATTTTAATTTCTGGTGTCTCCCCAAATTTGACAGAAAACTCACTGAGTCTTATTCAAGCTTACAAAGCTGTTATAATCACTCGAGCGCTGAGCCTTCCCATGCTGAGCGTGTGTCCTTTCTTCAGATTTGGCTTTGTAAATATGTTTTGTGTGTGTCAAGCATGAAGCCTTCTATGAGCTATTTACCCATGGCGCACGAATTAGAGCGTGGTAGGCGTCTGAATTTGTGTTCTTTCTTTTTGGCTGCTCTCTATTGAGGCATGGCTTCTCTCCAATTCCAATTGAAGAATGGTGCATCTCTCATTGGCAGTGGGCCTCTTTGGTTCATTAAAATATGGTTGAGAGCCTATTTTCCATCACTTGGTGCTCTATCCTTTTCCCTTCATTTTGCTAACTGCTATGGGCTAGCTATTGACCCACTGAGCCCTGTAAATATGTCCAGAAGGGACATCTTTTCATTCTTTTATACTTTGAATTCAATTCCTTCTTTCTTTTCTTTTCCTCCCTTTTTAACTCCAGATTATGTGCAACCCCCATCCACCCTGGACAGTGCGAGCACCTCTCTGCTCGTTTAAGTTCAGTTTTTGACCGAGAGGGAGTTGTTCCATGATATTTTGATTGGAACCAATGCCAAAGCTGGGTTGAAATATATGCTCCCCAATTTTTTGCTCGCCAACTTGGTTTTGGCCAAACTTGGCCTGTTTCCTCTTGTTATTCAAGAAATTTGATAGATCGCTTCTACACCATTAATAAGGCAGAGGCAGAGGCAAAAGCTATAGATGCTCGCAATATTCTTTTGACGAATAATTTTTCATTAGCCCCCTTCAATCCTAGCCATGTCATCCATCCCCTTTTTAAACAACTCTGACCATCGGTGCAGCGCAAATTGTTTGCAACTGATGCCAATCGCGCTTTCCATTCACTGGATCAGTCAGACATTTCTTCCACTTCTCCTGTTTTGGACACCCCTGTGTTCATTAGGAGTCCTTCCTCTTCTGCTCGTGCTAAACAGACTGTTCGTCCATCTACTTCTCTTCCTACCAAGCCCACTGCAGCTAAGAGTGCCCCAAGTTGCAAACGGCCAGCCTCAGCATCTCCCATATTGGAGGGTGATGATGACACTCCTCTCATTGTCAGGAGAAAGGTAATTAAATTAGTTTACTCACAAGCATACTTTTCTATACTTGAAACTTTTCTATGTATTGAAGGTTTATTCGGATTTCTCAGAAAAGCTCAGCCTCTCCTTTGAGGGCTTTGGTATTGGCAGCTCCTGCTCCATCATCCTCTGCTGAGACTACTTCATCCAAACTAGCTGATGAAGGGACTATGCTTAAAGAGAAACCTTCAGTCCCGAAATCCTCATCACAACCAATGGATGAGCCACCTTCTTCCCAGAGCGTCAACCCCCCAAGCGTCGAACCAGAAGGTAATACATTTTTTGATGTTTTACCTTTGCTTGTGCTATTGGTTTTTGATTTGTTGCTTTTTGAGTTCTGTAGATGCTCCCATGGGCTTGCCCGTTGTGGCAAAGTCTTCTCCCCCAGATAAAGGAAAGTCCTTACAAGTGGTGGAGCCACAGGTGATAGACTTGGCTGGGGATATGCCACCTCCTAAGATTGCTGATGAGGTAATCTTTGCTTCACTTTTACTTCCACTTTGTTTATTGTAGTGAAAACCTTCAATGTTGGCAATTTTCTTTGCAGGATGCTGATAAGATTGTGTGTTCCATCCAAGACTTGTTCACTTCCTAGGGGCAAGTCAAGACGTCTTGCCCTACTTCAACCAGTCGTCCTTCTGCTTCTTCAGAGGAAGATATGAAGTTCCTCAAGCAGTCGATATTTGAGTATGTGTCCTTTATGGATATGGACATCGGTCAGGCTAGTGCTGCCAAACATAAGGATAAGCTTGAGCATTTGAGTGCGAAGTTGGCGCAAGCACTGACACTTCCGTCGCTCAATCTTTCTGCTGATTTTAAAGCGACATTGAAAGTTGTCCATTTCGAGATTCTCTCCTTACTAGCCAAAAATATTGAACTGAAGGCCAAAAGTACTCAATATCTTCGCGCTGTATCTGAAAGAGAGTCTTTGCTTCTGGAAATCAACAAAGCTGAGGACGAATTGAATGAAATCTCTTCTAAAGTTATGATTGAAGACTCCTTGATGACCAGTTTGGCTGCACAGATGAAGGAGCTTCAAGCAAGGATGGAGGACTGCAAGACGAGAATGGCTGCTAAAAAACGTAATGCCTCCCAAGGAATTGAACGAACCAAGTCTTTGGTTGAGCAGTACAAGAAGCTGGAGGTTGATGATGATTTTGTAGCTGAATTGAATGTTACTTCTTCTCAGCAGAGCGAGGATTGGGGGAAACTTAGGGAAAGAATTCGTTCAATTTGGGGTGAATTGTAATTAAAACATCTAATGCCTTAACTTTTCTTTTTGTAACTTCGTATTAACTTTCCCTTTGTAACATCGTACTGATGCCTATTGGTAATTCTGAACATACCAACAGCCATTATCATTAATGAACGATTAATTTGTCTTCTTGTGTATTTATTGACGTTGTCTTTAATCGTCAACCGCCCAAATATTTAACTGCTTTATGCGATTCATGCACATTTTCCCTTGGTATTTCTGTCTCTTTTTCCAATACTTCGGGTCATTTGATTCTAGTTACTAGGCACGAATGTGGCTGTTCATATTTTGTCTCTTCACCTTCACGTCTCTATAAATGCACTTATATTCCACACTTGTCATTTTCATTTCCATTCTCTTCTCAAAATCAATTTGCTGCCATTGTTTGACATTTTGACAATCGATCCAAAACATTCGTCTTCCATGGAAATGGATCATTTGATCCGCCCATTTTGCCATCTTTCTTGATGTCACCTTTGGTATGGGAGATATAGGAAATATTCTTTGGCCAGCAAAGTTCTTCCCATTGTCTCCATGTTCCTTACAAGGAGTTCCATAATGAAAGACAATTTTTTAGGACGCCTGCAAGCCACCTTGCTTGCTGAGAGTGTTTTTCAGCCTCCTTACCTGTTATTGCAACGATGCATTTAGGAAGGCGATGTGAGGGTGCTTCTTCTTCCTTTCTGCTTGCTGAGAGTGCTTCTCGGCCTCTCTGCTTGCCTTTAAAGCAGTGCGATCAGGATGGCAATCAAGGCCAGTTCACCCTCTTACTC